ATGAGGGTGGCATCTGAAACCTGAGCTGGGGTCCCAGCCCTGGCGCCACCTGGCCATGTGGCCTCGGGCTAGTCCTCTCTCCCCTCTGAGCCTTGGTTTTCCCCACCAGTAAAGTGGGCATTCCCAACCCTCGCCTTACTTTGTGGGTCTGTTTGCTCAGAGGAGCTCAGAAAGGGGAAGGGCTCATCACAGATATGGGGATAAATGCTCTTTCAGTGACAGCATTCTGCTAAACTCGGGTAAATGAACATTGCCCCCCTCTGCCCACAGCACTCCATGGCTCCCACTTCCCTTGGGGTAAAAGCCCAAGTTCTCCCCATAAGGCCCTGCATGACCTGCCACTGTCACCTCTGTGCCCTCCCCCTGTCCTTCTCTCCCCCTCGTTCTCTGCTCCAGCTGCACGGACCTCCTCGCTGTTCCTCCAAAACGCCAGGCTTGGTCCTGCCCGAGGGCCCTTGCACGGTCTGTGTCCTCTGCCTGAAATGCTGTTCTCAGTTATCTACATGGCTCATTCTCTCCCCTAATCCTGGACTTTCCTCAAATATCTCCTTGGAGAGACACACAAGGCTCCTTAAGCACCATGCATGGAGCTAGACAACCACAAGCACACTAGTATATGTGAGACGCTGTTCCTCAACCGCGACTGTATTTCAAGTGACACCCTCATTCAGCCCATTCTCTCGACTTCCCAGGTCCGTGGGATGTGCAGCCAGCGATGTCATCACCCCTTGCAGCCTTTGCTCAGACAAACACGGGATCATAGGTGACAACAGCAATGTAAACTGCATCCCTTTGATGGAGTGTACAAACTGTTCTTTCCTGTCCGTGGCCATGAGCCCAAACACGGTCTGTCCTAGCTCATGACAAAGTGCTGCCATGGCTTGCAGCCCTGGCTGTCCTGCCCGGGAGCACCCACCCCCTTTGCACAGGACAACAGCCTTTATCCTGGTGGTTAAAGCTCCCTCTGCTCGTAACTGTGAGGCCAGCGCACCCCTTGGCATTCATGCAAGAGATGTTTATTGACCATCTACTACTTGCCAGGCACTGGGGAAGTAGTGGAGAACCAGGTGGGGAGAGACGGACTGGAATCGACACACACAAGGTGCCTGAGATAAGTCCACGTGGTTCTAAGTTCTACCCAGCTGATAAAACTGGGGGGAGAGGGAACAGAGAGTGGTTTGGGGGGTGTCTTTGGACAGAGGAGTCAGCAGCGCCTCTGTGAGGAGGTGATGTTAGTGTGGAGGCCTAAGGAATGGGAAGGAAGCCAGCCATGGGGAGCGCTGGGGCAAAGGCTCTTCAGGCAGATGGTGCGACAGGTGCAAAGGCCCTGGGGCAGGAACACACGTGGAATGTTTGAGGAACAGAGAGACCACATGGCTGAGACACGATGAATAAGCGTGGAGCAAAGAGGTCAGAGGAACTGGGCCACTCAGGACCACGGGCCTGCAGGGAGGAGCTTGGGCGTTATTCTCCAGTGCAGTGCGGAATGATGTGACCCGATCACTGCAATATGTTTAAAATGACATATATGACCCGATCTGCTATACGTTTAAAATTACACATATGACCCAAATTTTTATATACATACACACCCCGATCTCTGCTATATGTTTAAAATTCTCTGGATTCCAGGATGTGGAGGAATTGGAACCCTTGCGTGTTGCTGGTTGGAATGAAAATGTTGCAGCCGCCGTGGAAAACAGTATGGCAGGTGTAATAGACGGAATTCTGTCCCCCGCAAAGCTCACTGAAGCTTGAGTTGTGTCTCCCAAGTTTCATGTATTAGGAACTCAGCCCCCACTGTGACTGTGAAGAGGGTGGGATCCTGTGTCTCCCAAGTTTCATGTATTAGGAACTCAGCCCCCACTGTGACTGTGAAGAGGGTGGGAAATCCTATGATGGTCATTGAAAGGTGGAGCCTTGAAGAGGTGATTAGATTGTAGGACCGTGCAGTAGTGAGTGGATTAAAAATGGTGGTCAGGGGCGTGGTTCTGAGGGCTTTAAAAGGAGAGGAGAGTCTGTCTTTTGCTGTCTCTGCTCTGCTTCCAGCATCTTGCAATGTGAGACCCCTGGGTCACTGTCACCACCACCAGATGAACTTTGGACTTCCCAGCCTCAGAAACTGTAAGCAATAGATTTCATTTTCTTTACAAATCACTCAGCTTCAGGTATTTTGTTATGAGCAACAGAAACGGACTAATATAGCAGGTTCTCGAAAAATTAAACACAGTTACTGTGTGACCCCGCAATTCCACTCCTCAGATCTACTCAAAGGAATTAAAAGAAGGGACTAAACAGATATTAGCACAACCCATGTTCACAGCAGCATGATTCACAACAGCCAAAAGGAGGATAAGCACGACGTGGTCCCTCCACACAGTGGACTGTGACTCAGCCTTAAAAAGGAAGGAAATCCCGACACACGCTACAGCGTGGATGAACCCTGAGGACACTGTGCTCAGTGACATAAGCCAGACACACAAGGACAAACACTGTGATCCACTCACAGGAGGTCCCTGGAGTCGTCAGATCCACAGAGACAGAAAGTAGAACGGGGGGTGCCAGGGGCTGGGGAGGGGGGTGGAGAGTGAGTGTCTCATGGGGACAGAGTTTCAGTTTGGGAAGATGAGAACGTTCTGGAGATGATGGTGGTGGTGATGGTGAACGTGCTTAATGCCGCTGAGCTGTGCACTTAAAAATGGTTAAAATGGTAAATTTTATGTTATGTGTGTTTTACCACAACTACATTTCTTTTTAGTCTCTGTCTACTGAGTGAATTCTGGACTCTCAGATGGTGGGAGACCCCGAGGAGGCCCAGGCCACTATCATAAGAGTCTGGCCCAGGGTGGTGGCCTGGGAATGAGCAGAGTGGTCATACTGAATTTATCTTTTGGCTGTGGAAAGGACAGGACTTGCTGAAACTGTAGTTACACTCATTGGAGAGCCAGAGCTTCCACCAGGCCCAGCAGTGCATGTGCAGGAGCTCCCCATGTCCCCGTTTCCAGCATCGGCCGCCACAGTGAGCCCGCCTGGCTTATTTTTCAACCTTTGCCAGCTTCCAAATGGAGCTGGCCGTGCCGGACTGCCACGTCCGCCTCCCAACATCAGCCAACTAAAGACAGAACCAAAGCCANTCCACTCACAGGAGGTCCCTGGAGTCGTCAGATCCACAGAGACAGAAAGTAGAACGGGGGGGTGCCAGGGGCTGGGGAGGGGGGTGGGGAGTGTCTAATGGGGACAGAGTTTCAGTTTGGGAAGATGAGAACGTTCTGGAGATGATGGTGGTGGTGATGGTGAACGTGCTTAATGCCGCTGAGCTGTGCACTTAAAAATGGTTAAAATGGTAAATTTTATGTTATGTGTGTTTTACCACAACTACATTTCTTTTTAGTCTCTGTCTACTGAGTGAATTCTGGACTCTCAGATGGTGGGAGACCCCGAGGAGGCCCACGCCACTATCATAAGAGTCTGGCCCAGGGTGGTGGCCTGGGAATGAGCAGAGTGGTCATACTGAATTTATCTTTTGGCTGTGGAAAGGGCAGGACTTGCTGAAACTGTAGTTACACTCATTGGAGAGCCAGAGCTTCCACCAGGCCCAGCAGTGCATGTGCAGGAGCTCCCCATGTCCCCGTTTCCAGCATCGGCCGCCACAGTGAGCCCGCCTGGCTTATTTTTCAACCTTTGCCAGCTTCCAAATGGAGCTGGCCGTGCCGGACTGCCACGTCCGCCTCCCAACATCAGCCAACTAAAGACAGAACCAAAGCCAGGCTCTGGAATTCCCAGCTACTGGGTGTCACCAGCCATTTTTAAACGTTAGCCAGCTGAGGCTCAAATTTCTTTGTCCTGGAAGGCAACGCCGTACATGCGACCCAGCCGTCGTCCTCGGTGTCCTGCTGTGCCCATCTTCCCTGCCCCTCTGCCTCTCAGGAAAATGCCAACCATCCTTCCCAAACCTGCCAACCTCTCCTTCTCTGGAACACCCTCCCCTGGCCCTTTGTCCAAACCTTTGTCCTAGTCCCCATCACCCTGGACTGAATCTGGATCTATAAATATATAAAAGCCCAAGTCCTCCCCGCAGCCCACAAAGCCCTGCATGACCCGCCCTGTCCCCTCCCTGCCCTCCCCTCCTCACCCTGCTGCAGCCACACAGGCCTCCTCGCTGTTCCTGCAACACACCAGGCTCGGTCCTGCCCCAGGACCTTTGCACATGCTATTCCCTCTGCCTGGAACATGCTTCCTAAAATGCCTGCCTGGCTCACTCCGTTGCTTTATTCTGGTATCTGTTCAAATGTGGTTTATGCATCCACAGCCCCGGGCACAGGATCTAGGATTGAAGCTCCGGGAAGCTCACAATTTCACCTCTTCATATCCCTCCCAAGAAGCGGGACCACAGTGTTCCCATATTTGTCCAGTAATGTTGCAACCTACTTCGCGTCCCCAGAGCCTTCATTTCCACCCTGTACGAGTGTCTGTGCAAACCCAAGCAGAAGGGGAAACTGTGATTCTTTCCTTCAACACGTCTTGAGTGCCTACTGTGTGCTCTAGGCACTAGGGACCCAGCACTGAACAAAACAGACACAAATCCCAGTCCCATGAGGTTCCCATTCATGGACTTCCTACCAGCAGCCATCCTGAGAACAACCTGGGGTTGAGCCACAGCATGAAGGTTGCAGGCTAGACTGAAGGTGGACTTCCCTGGCAGTGTGGCTGGAGGACTGAACCTGAAATTGCCCTGGGTGTCAAGGAATCCCAGTAAAATCCTGACCCTCCCTAGAGAACCCCCCTTCCATAAGCTCTAAGCACATCCCCCCGAGGCTTCCAGAGGAGAGAACCAGCCACGGGTCTCACCAACGCTGTGTGACCTCCCCAAAAGTGCTTTCCCTCTCTGAGCCTCCATGTCCTAGTACAGAGGAGCCAACCCCCCAGGCCAGTCCTTCTCCAGGAGTTGTCTGGACAAATTAAAGGGGAAAAGCAACACGATGGGTGCTCACGGTACTCACAGCCCCCTGGGGATGGCGTGGGAAGCCTGGACAAGACGTGGGGGACCCAGGAGTCAGCCGCGTGGACGGGGTGGCCTCCCGGACGCCGGCCTCCGCCGCCTCGTCCTTCCTGCGAGTCTGGACCACACTTTCCATCTCCCTCTGCCCCGCCGCCGGCCGCCTGGGCCCGAGCCAACCTGCTTCGGAATCACTTTCAAAGAAAAGTTTCTGTTTCTTCCCACCCGGCCGCCGGTCGCCCCCGCCTGCTCCGTGGCCTGGCTCCAGGCCCCGC